TTTATGTTGTGAGAAACTCCGCACTGTATTGATCTGTTTTTCAAAAGTAGGTCTGGATTCCTACTATATATGATATCTAGATTAACTAAATAAACAAGATGGTGCCCGTGTGGTGATGAATTAAGAATACAGAGTGTTACCACTTCTATAGTCATCAAGAGGGTGTCGTAAGGGCCGACTAAAGGAGCAAACTACGCAGGACAACAGTACTGCAAGGAAAAAGAAAACTTGAATCTCGTCTGGCCAGCGTGGTATAGAATAAGTCGAGTGCTAAGTAGCACGAGTGCTAGAATTGACTATAGATAAATTAAAGTCACTTTAGATATTATTTTTTATCGCTAATACTGTAATCTATACTAATTACTAATATTACTAATAATATTGTAAAGCTGAAGAGTTTGTTTGTTTGTTTGAACGCGCTAATCTCAGGAACTACTGGTTTGAAAAATTCTTTCAGTGTTAGATAGCCAGTTTATCGAGGAAGGCTATAGGCTATATATCGTCACGCTAAGACCAATAGGAGCGGAGCACCCATGAAGAATGTTTCAAAAACGGAGAAAATGTATTACTATTGAGAGACGCAGACGAAGTTGCGCGGGTCAGCTAGTGAGTTAATATAACTACGTATTCAGTTGCTTCAATAACGACTTGAATCCAATACTCACTTTTTACAAGCTTTATATTAGCTTCACTTGTATGTTTGTTTGTATGTTTGTAACCGAAGCCTTCGGGCGTGATTTTGACTGACTTTAAACGGTCAGAATTCGTTCAAACTTTGTAGATATATCGAGGACCGATGACAATACACTAATTTAAAAAAATATAAAAATAAACTAAATACTAATAAATAAACTAAAAAATAGAAAATAAATTTGAAAAAAGCGTTAGGTGCCTGTTGTCAATAGTAAAAAGCACCCCACGCATTTTTTTAAATTTATTTTCTATTTTTTAGTTTGCTTTTCTATAGAAAGCGTGTTTTTTAGTTTTTAAAACTATTTTTTTTTATACCTTCAAAGATATAAGTGACGCGATATAAAGAAAGATAAAAACAACTGCACTGAGCTGTACTATCTGAATTGTACTATGTTGTGTCAAATTCAAATCATATTATTTTTGCATAAACAGGTATGAAGCTGGTAATATAACCTCTTTAAGGTGTGCAAAATATTTAGATATAGATAGTTAAAATATTATTATTTGACATGCAACATGACAAATACACTTTGAAAAATATATAGTTAATGTCAGAGAATTAATAATGTCAAGAGTATTATAATAATATAATAATAACCTCACACATCTCACACACGGCCGTCTGATCCCAAACTAGGCAGAGCTTGTGCTATGGTAACCAGACTGCTGATAAACATACTTACATATTAAAATACATACATATTATAGATAAATTACACCCAGACACAGAACAAATGACCGTGCTCATCACACAATATTTGTCCTGGGTGGGAATCGAACCCACGACCTCCCAGCTTAGCAGTCAGGGCCACTAACCACTAGACCAACAGGCCCGTCCCAATTCTAAATGTTATAAAGTCAGATATATGAATCAAAACAATAAAAAATGTCTTATGATCTTCAAAATAAAGTAGATAACGAAGAACGTAAATTGATTTAGAAATTGTCTTGCAGATTATCAGTTACATTATAATAGCATTTTTTGTTCAGTTTTTTTTAATGACTGTTTAAAGATGGTCAAACTTGATTCCTTTATATTCCTAAGTAATTTATTATATATTTTAGGAGCCATGGCGAAAACACTATTAGGCATCAGAGCAGTGTTTAATTTACACAAACATAGCCGGGACTTTTCTCTTTGCGTTAGCCATACGCGTCAGAAGACAAAACAAATAAATTCAGATTTAGTTTGGCAAACATAGCTATTTAAATGGATGGCAGTATCAAAATATTATATTTTTTTAAATAGAGCAGATAGCTGTCGGTTAATTTTAGAGAGAACATTGCCCTTACAGAGCGTTTCTGTATCTTGAATATTTTATCTTTATGGTATCCCAAATATTATACCAAACCTAGGAACCGACGCTACCATAGCATGGTATGCAGTCAGAAGTGCACCAGTTTTTGTGTCGGAACAAGAGTTACTATTTAATTAATTAATTGTATTCAGTGTAATTTCTGTACAATTATAATTTACTCTGTCGTTTCTTCTGTAGTGTAAGGAAACAATGTCAATTTTATATCTAACTAGCTGACCCTGCAAACGTTGTTTTGCTATTTACATTATCTAAAAATTATTATTTTTTTGAATTTCTTAAAATCCGTTCTTAGCTGACCTCTACTCGGTGAAAAGAATATTCCTACCAAATTTCAAGTCTTTAGCTCTAATGGTTCCAGAGATATCGTGATGAGTGACTATATACGTGGAAATCTCTTATATATATATATATATATATATATAGATTGAACGAGCGATTTTCTCACTTACTATAGCCAGATATCAGACTGTAATTTTGTGAGTCAAATCGTATTAGTTAGTAATGACAAACCGCAAGCCGCCGTCAGGCAGAGGTCATGAGTTCGATCCCGCAGAATGAATATTGGATGGAAAGACACTTTCCCATGCATGTGGGCATTTTAATGGGGGTGTTAGGGGATAAAGGCGTGAGTGTATGGGCCATAGACAAAGGAATAATATTGTTCTGTGGCATGAGCGAATGGAGTAAGAAATATAAAAGGAATACAAAACCCGAATATAACAGAATACTATCATCAAATTGTTAAAAAAACTTTCTCATCAAGGCTGATGTAATAAAATAAATTTACATTGTCCGAAAGCTTAAAATACTGTTGTTACAATAAAATGTTAGATATTAGAAAACTTTCCAAAGAACTCTCACTGCAATGAGAATTTAAGAGTTGTACGCGTCCAAACAAGTGTTACAGGTTTCCATGAGAAATACTTAAACACTACTTAATGATGCATTCATTTTAAGCTCTTTCATCCTGGCCTTCACCCTTATACCTTAAATAGTTATAATCTATGCAATCTAAAACGCTCCATATTAAAATTCAACTAGGTACCTGTTTTATGGAATGTCACCACCCCTATTCATCCCGTGGGTGTCGTAAGAGGCGACTAAGGGAACAAACTACGCAGGACAACAGCACTGCAAAGAGAAGGAAAACTTGAAACAAACCCTATACCAACCCGTCTGGCCAGCGTGGTATAGTAGGCCAAAACCTCCTTTCTAAGAAGAGGCCTATGTCCAGCAATGGACTAGTATAGGCTGTTGATGATGATGATGATGATGACTTAATGATGAATTCATTTTAAGCTCTTTCATCCACTGGCTAGAAATTCACCCTTATACCTTAAATAGTTATAATCTATGCAATCTAAAACGCTCCATATTAAAATTCAACTAGGTACCTGCTTTAAATTTTCTAGTGCATTTACATTTAAACTGTTTCATCCATACTTATAAATTCGAAAGTGTGTCTGTCTGTCTTTCTGTCTGTCTATTTGTTACCTCTTCACGCTTAAACCGCTGAACCGTTTTAGATAAAATTTGGTAACGAGATACTTTGATTCTTAAGGAAAGACATAGGCTACTATTTACTGCAATGCAAGCCCCGGGCAAAAGCTAGTAATCTATACATTTAAAATAACCTGTCCTGACTGCCTGATCCATCAACGCAAAATCTAATCCGCTGCGGCTACAAACTTGAAATTTTGGCAGCTTGTTATGATGTAAGCACCCTCTGAGAAAGTGGTTTTAGAAATTTCATCCCTAAGGAGGTAAAATAAGGGATGACCGGTTGTATCGGAGTTCGTCAAAGTTAGAAACATGAAATCGCAGCGAAGTCGAGCGCGACAGCTTTACATTCAATAAATTTAGATCCATACTAATATTATGAATGCGATAGTGTGTCTATCTGTCTGTTACCTCTTCACGCTTAAACTCCTAAACCGATTAAGATGAAATTTTGCACTGGGATCATAGTGTAGTTTTTATTCCAGAAATCTTAACGTGGTGAAAAGGAAGGCCGAAGTTTGTATGGGGAATCAATAACCGCTGATCCGATTCGGATGAAATTTGGTTTGAACATACTTTGATTCTTGAGGAAAGACATACTTTTTTACCGCAATAACTAACATTTACGCGGGCGCTTTGTTTTAATCCCATTACAAAAATAAAAGCAGTTCTATAATCGGTTTTAACGTACCGATTCTGGGAAACCGATCTTTAAAATAAAACAGAAGTCCTTGTTGGATTATTCGTCGCCCGTCCATCAGTATAGATGTGTATTTATCGTTTCAACACCGGGAGGGTACTATCGGTAAGCCTTACTCGATATCAAGTCCAAACATAACACAATTAGTGCAAACAATATTATAGAAAATTAAGCATAAAAATTTGATCGCAGCTCCCCCCTCCCCCTGTTCTACTATATTAATTTTGCGATTAAAATATCAAAAATATATCACACGATCTCCATAAAGTATTAAATAAACTTAACTGTTTTAAAAAGTTGTTAAGTTTGTTGAGATGTAAATACATAATATATTTAATACCTACAGACTCAGTGTTGTATGCACTTATTTACATAAACAAACAAATCCAAAAGCAATTTACACATAAGCGCAACATTAGTTAAAAACAAACTTAAAAAGCGTAAGCCAGGCAATGGCCGAATTATGACTCTAGCAACATACTATAAAACAAATAGATTTAACAGCTGTACAATACTATTTACGCTTTTACGAAAAAATAGACCTAATTGCAGTTAGCTTTCGCACGGAATGCACTTGCCTACAAACATAGATAGCTGACCTACATCTACCAAAACATTATTCTATCCCAAGTTCACGACCTTTGTACAGTAGAGTAAGGCTTTCGTTATGAAACCTGGATTTACTTTTACTTCCAGGCTGAGAAAGTCCAATTCGGTCGGTACACTTGCTCGAGGCTATATAGGTACGGTCGAGACGGCGGGCGCGCCAAACGTAAACCACATTCACGATGAAACGAACGGTCGTGTTTTTACTCTTTGCGGCGTGTTATGCCCTCCCCGCGCAAGAAACTTCGCACACAGACAACGATATCGACGGATTGACAGACTGCCTCCGCAAAGAATCCACAACATGTTTAAAGTACAAATTTTTCTCCTTCGTCGACAAAATGATCGGACAGAAAGAATCATTTTCACTAACAGATGGAGTGACTGTCGTTAAATCATCAGATCTCCCGCACGACACAGGAGCACCGAGATCTCTGGATCCTGTTTCAAGACTGAAGAACTACTTCGAAACTCATTCTTTGAGAGTGGAAGTCAAAGGATCGGATGTGATTGATGCAGTTTCAAGTGCAGGACGAGCTCTGGAGGATACTGTGTCGTCGTTTACCGAGGATAATGAGGTAAGTGAGGGCAGAGGCAAGAAGAAGAAGGCTGCGAAGATATTGGGACCTCTGATTGCTGCTGTGGCATTGAAAATGATGGCGTTGATGCCACTTGCAATTGGAGCTATTGCCTTGATTGCTGGAAAAGCTCTGTTGATTGGAAAGTTGGCGCTAGTTTTGTCAGCGATAATTGGGTTGAAAAAGTTGCTGTCTCAGCAGAAGCATGTAACTTATGAGGTTGTTGCCCATCCGCATCACACTTCGAGTCACGACTACAGCAGTGGAGGCACGAGCGGTTACGGAGGTGATTCCGGTGGTAGTTATAGTAGCAGCGGAAGCGGGGGCGGACACGGTGGAGGATGGGGCCGATCGCTCGAAGCGCAAAACTTAGCGTACCAAGCGCAGAAACCTTAACACGCGACCCGGTTTCTTGGCCCCTTTCCTCTGATTTCTCCGGTGTAAAATGTATTATTTGTATTGTGTGAATGTGCGAGTGTAATTTATTGAACAATTTATTTATTAGTGTAATGCCATGACTCGATAATTTGTTCGTTAGTTGATAAAAGAAACTACCTAAATATATTTAATTTTGTTCCCCCTTTCTTAGTCATTCCAAGTCATATTTTATCCTTGTGTATTTATTAATATATGAATGTTTTCTTATTTTGTTTATCTTAGTACTTATTAGAATAATTAATTTTTATTTATTTTAATTCAGTACCTGGCTTTAATATGTTTAAGTATTGTGGAATAAGATTTAAGTTTATGTAATATATTTGTATTATTTTATGTATTTTCTTTCCCCACGATTATGTTAGAAGAAAAAGTAATGTTATAAATAATACAATAATATATTTAAATGTGTAAAATATATTTAGTTCGAATTCTTATTTATTTAAATACTCATAATGGTAACTTTACAAATAATTACGTTGCAATATTTTTATATTGTTGTATTACAAATAAAATAAATATGCAAATTGTTATGTATTTTATTTACATTTATTATAAATATTGCATATTTTACTTAAATGAACAAATAATAAAATGGTTTAATTGTTTCAATTAGCTGTCCTGATGGGCTAGAGGTTAGTGACCCTCACTGCTAAGCCGGTCGTGAGTTTGATTCCCACCCATTACAAATAATTGTGTGACGAGCACGATCTTTTGTTCTTTGATCACAGTACAGGATCTGCCTAGTTTGGGACCAGACGACCGTGTATAAGACGTATGTTATTATTATAATTTTAAAGTATACGGCATGTAAAGTTCATCACTCATAATTGCATTCAAACTCACGCCTGTATTCCCAAATAAGTAAGCAGAGGCACACATGCACAGGTCAGGTCAGGTCAGGTATCAACTATAAGTTTTGATAAATGAGAGAATGTTATAAAAAGAAAGGTAGATTAGAGGAGGAAGCAATTGTAGGCAAGAGATATTGCTTAGATCAAGATATATTATTAGAGAGTGTAAGGGGGCATCAATTTCCTCCCGTAGAAATATAATTACCCGTTGGTAATTGTACTAAAATATTTAATTATTTAAATCATTATGTCATGTGTTTCAGTTTAATTACTAAGATTATTTTAGGTCTTTTAAAGGATTATTACGTGACGGACAATGACGCAGAAGTTAAAAGCGAGAAGAATTACCCGTAAACAATTTCTCGAGCACGACAAAATTCTATACCTGTAACAAGATTTGACTATTGCCGAAAAATCTGCTTTTTATTTTACACATCTCACACACGGCAGTCTGATCCTAAACACACACTTCACGTTACGTAGTTCTGGTTACAAACCAGCCAGACCCTTTACTATGTAACCAGGCTACTGATAAACATACTTATACATCAACAAATACATACTTATTATATACAAACTATACCCAAACACAGAATCAATAAACAACTACATTTCTCCAAAACATAACCCATCACATAACTGATGAACGTAGTTATTTGGCCTTCGGTAAAGTTTCTTTTCACATATAATAATAACAATAATATTTTTAATTGATATAGCCAATACATTAGGACCCTGATTCCTGTTGTAGGTTTACAACCTGTGTTACAGGAAACAGTGCCTTCACCCATTTTGTTATAGTGTAAGTGTGTATGTATGTGTGTGTGTGTGTGATGAGTGTGGGTTTGTGTGTGTGTGTGTGTGTGTGTGCGTGTGAGTGATGAGTGTGGGTGTGTGTGATCGACGTGCTCATTGTACCAAGTTTTCGATTTGTGTATAGTCGAGCGTTATTTTAATGATTCTCTTTTTAATTTTGAGGTCATTTTTTGCCAGTGAATTAATGAGCAGCATATCTATTACTAATGCCCAGGTGATCGTGCTCACCACACAATTATATGTTCTGGGCGCAAATGGAATTCACGACTGGCTGTACCAGTGAGAATCACTAACCACCAAATCAACGGATCACTCAAAGTTAATTCTGACGTTACGGAGGTGTCGCTGAACTCTCACCTGGCCATCAACGACAATGACGGTGCAATTACTTCAAAACGTAAGGCAAAAAAATAAGTTATTGTACCTTTTAAACATATAATATAATTATGACCAAGTACGGAAATTTTAAAATAACCATTACATTAAAGCTCGTAATTAAACTGATTACATGTTTTAGATTTTCAGATGGGAGGGTAGGCTAGCATATTTTTATTATCTGTACAAATAAATGAAATTGAAGTGTCTGTTTGTAATGTCAAAATAAAAGGTTTTTTTCACGCTTACACGGTTATTTGCACGATACCTATACCTAAAAACCAGTTTAAATATTTTTTGTCTGTCTGTTTGTTCCGGGTAATCTTTAAAACGGCTGGACCGAATTAAATACTAATACTACCAAGTAGCTGTCTATATAAGGAGTAACTCAGGCTATTTTTCACTCAGAAAAACCCTATAAAATTTTGACTGGTCCGGGAATCGAACTCTTAGTGAGTTCCCGTGAGTTGAGTGATTCCCGGACCAGTCAAAATTTTATAGCGCAGGCAGCGCTGTTCAAATTCCACGCGAGCGAAGTCGCGGGCATCAGCTATCCATTCATATAAACGCTTATTATCTAATTCAAGGGTTTAGACAGACACCGCTGTATTAATGTTTTTGTCGTCACTAAGTAAATTCCTCAAGCGATGTTATCATCTTTAATATTTTTCAAGGACACTACACATCAGTACCGGTAAATAATAATAATAACATCCTGTTACAAAGGTATTGGCGACCGGATGGCGTAGTGGTTTGTGTAACGGACTGATATTCCAAAGGTCGTGGGTTCGATTCCCGCTCAAGTCAAACATTTGCGTGCATGAACATTTAATGTTTGATTTGGTCTGGGTCTTTCTATATATAATATGTATGTATTTACAAAAAAAAAAGTATATATGTATTTATATCAGTTGTCTAGTACCCATAGTACAAGCTCTGCTTAGTTTGGGACTAGATGGCGTTCTGTGAATGTTGTAGAATATTATTATATAATTATTATTATTAGGAGTACATATCGCTGCCTATGTTCAAATTACGCAGAGCTTTTATTTTGGGTTCCGAGACACGAATAGACATACTCAATCTGGGTCGAGTTTTTTTTTCAACTGTGCAGTTTAACTAGCACAGACCAAAACCGGGGGGTTTTTCGTTGTCTCCTCATTCTCAGGAATGACTTAAAGAGCAGTGACGACTTATGACTCTTATGTTGCAGGTAACCATGGGTGAATGTTGTCTCTTACCATCAGGTAGTCTGCTCTTCTGGGTACTTTACCATAAAAAAATCTCTTATCAAAATTGTCTCGCCCTTTTCGATTTCTTTACCACAATTACTTCTTTCTTTGTCGTGTCCTCAGACCAAAGTTTTTGGTCTGAGGTCGTCTCTGATAACGATTACAATCTCCAGAAGGACTGACCTTCGGATGACCTAAAAAAAAGTTATTGAGCTGATTTCAAATAAAATTTGAATAATTATTTATACAAAAGAAACAAAAAAATATGTACCTTTTACTTACTGCTATTTTCATGAAAATTGGACTCATTTCAACCTTTTAATTTAACCAAATTGCTGTAGTTTAAGCATTAAAAAACGTGGGAATATTAACTTTCGTGTAATTATATTCAAGCAGAAATCATTGTTTTAAGTTTAAACACTATGTACTTTTACTAAATTTGAGTTCTCAAGTATTCTGGGAATTTGGTTGAGACATGTTTTTTTTAAAACAACTCTACTATTAGGAATATATCCTGTGTCGCGGGGGACTTTTCAAACATACATGAAACGGACATAAAAACACTCAGACTCAAAACAACATCGTAGATCACACAAAGTGTTGTCCCATGTAGGAATCGAACCCACAACACTCAGAGTAGTAAGAAGCGGCGTGGCGACTAGTTAAACCACTACACACTTAAAGTACTTAGTGCCTAATTGAAGTTTTACCACTATTTATAAGCGTCACATCAAGGTGGTCAGACAACCTGGTGAAGGTCGCGGGAAGCCGTTGTATGCGGGCAGCACTGGACTGGTTGTTGTCCCGAACCTTGGGAAAGGCCTATGTCCAGCAGTGGACGTCTTTTGACTGAGATGATGATGACATGAAAGACGGACTCAAATTCAGTGCTCTTTGAACAACATATTCTCAAATTATTAATTCCATTACTAATCTGTGTACGTCAGCGATCCCCGACCACTTATGTATGCGATTAGGGCCCTTTAACAAAGGATGAAGCATCAGTGATGATGTCAGGCTCACACTGGGTTATGTTTATATTTGCGTTGCGTTGTACATTGCAGTGTTATCATCGACAGGCACTGAGTTAATTACGACAATAAGACTGTGCTTAGTTTTGTGATGCACCGGATTTATCGGACAATAACTATTTAATGGCGGCCCCTAGGCACGCATAGAAGAGGCACTATTTCTGTTAAATGTCGGAAAAAGGCATATACTACTGCAACCCCCTCCTAGAATTAGTGGGGACGGAGCTTCCGGTAATCTCTCTCACTCAGTAAAAAGCCTTTCTTTGCTTTTTGCTTAACACCGGTTTTCTGTAAGGCTGTGTCACTGCGGTCGAGCCGCCCCTTTTGTGCCAAACCATAGCTCTCCCACATTTGTTTTTGGTTGTCTTCCCATATTTCGTATAGTATGAAATATTCTTCCCGCCAGTACGGAGGTATTATCGAATTGTATTTAGTAGAGCATGTCTGTCTTGCATACCTGTTCATGATCAATCAAAATACAGGTATCCCACGTCCAACGGATGACGTGCAATTATTTACTAGCTTAAATACCATTTGTTAACTCAATTTTTTTTAGCCTAAGTCATAGAAGCAAAGCGTTATAGATGTACAAACAGTTTATTTTAACACTACCCTTTTAAGTCCGGAATTAAAAAAGAAAGATGCTGAGTAAA